TCTCTCGGTCCACCTCGCGTTGCGGGTGTGCTTTCTTCCGTTTTTTCCGACCGGCGACTTTCCTCGCATCAATCCATCTCTGCAGAGCTCGGTTCTTGCCTNGGGTCGCCCTCTCGTACCTTCTCCTTCGCAGCCGCCTTGACGGCCGCTGCGGTCTCGTGTATCTCTCGGTCCACCTCGCGTTGCGGGTGTGCTTTCTTCCGTTTTTTCCGACCGGCGACTTTCCTCGCATCAATCCATCTCTGCAGAGCTCGGTTCTTGCCTGTGGTGTTTTGACGAGGAGGGTGAAGTATGTTGAGGCAACAGCACTGTCGCTGCAGTTGCTGTACAGCTATTCCTTTAGCTGCAGCTGGCATTGATGCGAGGTTAGGTAGGCCAACACACAGAGTGATCTTATTATCCACACAGACGCCCAAGCTGTCTTAACCTGACGGTTACAGACTTGGCAACGCCTTCACAATACCGCATGAACCCATGCAGTAGAATAGGGTCGTTCTTGTACTGCAATTACTCCAACATGTCCTCTCAAGAACTACGTCATCCTACCAATGCATCAGATCTAATTCTCTCTCACTGTCCTCTCGAAACAATGCTATCTTCGGAACTTCTGACTCAATATCAATTGTTTTGCCTTTCTCAGCTGCGTTGCATCAGCAGCGAATGTTTTCCTTCCAACACAAATTCCAGAATATTGTTCAAACACATACACACACATCCACCATCCAACCCTCAAGACATAAAGTCTGATTACGACGAGGGGAGGTGATCAAACTCCTAACAGCATGCCACGGGCGCGGAGAAACTCCGACGGGTTTAGCCCTTTCGTAAAAATATCCGCTTTCTGAAGCGACGTCGATACGTCGATATTTGCTTCACGTCTACGACTCCATCAGTTACCAGCGACCTTACGTGGTGAAACATTACGTCAATGTACTTAGTCCTTGGGGTGATACGGAAGCTGCGAGTTAATGTCAGAGCTCCCGAGTTGTCCTCCCACACCACGGTTGCTTCTCCCTGAGTCTGATTTTTGGTGTCCAGCAGGTGGCGGAAGTACTTGATGATGTTGCACCCCTTTGACAAAGCCACGAACTCTGCTTCAACGGAAGAGGTCGCCACCACCGTCTGCTTGGATGATGTCCATTCCACCGGTCCACCAGCGGAGTACAGCACGACTCCCGTGGTGGAGTAGCCCTTGTCTAGGTCGCCTGCAAAATCTGAGTCGACAAACGCCGTAATGACGTTTCCATCTTCGGCNTCCCTTGTCTAGGTCCCCTGCAAAATCTGAGTCGACAAACGCCGTAATGACGTTGCCATCTTCGGCATCCTCGCCGTAGCCTACACCGATTGATATCGCCCCTTTCAGGTACCTGAGTACGCGTTTGAGTTTCTGCATCGCCCTCGGACCTGGTTTCGCCATACTTCGCGTCAGGACCATCACGGAGTGAGTAATGTCGGGTCTTGTGCACCTGCTGAGATATAGGAGCGAGCCTGTGGCGGAGCGGAAATATGTGGTATCCTCCGCTGACAACACCTCGTCCTCCAAGACGGACACCGGTCCAGCCTCAGACGGAGATGTCGTCAGACGCGCGTCGGCCATGCCGAACTTGTCCAACACTGCGTTGGTATACGCTTCCTGTTCCAAAAGAATTGTCCCTGCGGCTCTGTCTCGGTTGATTCCCATACCAAGCAGGAAACTGGCTCCTCCCAGGTCCACCGTTTCAAACGCTCATTCAGCTGATCGACTATGCTCAGCACTTTGTTCTCGCCCTCCCCGGTCAGCAGAATGTCATCCACATAAACGAGAAGGAGCACATCTCCGTCGTCCAGGATGTACAAGCACGGTTCAGCGGTGCTCTCAACAAATCCGATCTTCAGGAGAAAATCGTGCAGAGTGCCCCACCAGCCTTTTGGGGAAAAACGCAACCCGTAAAGCCACGCTCTGAGCTTCCAGACTTGCCTGGCTCTCTCGCTGTCGCACGAGAATCCTTCCGGGGGAATGACGTACACTGGTTTCGATCCCGGTTCCATCCTCGCGTGGAGGAACGCCGTCCTGATGTCGGCTTGGCGAAGAACAAGTCCATTCTTGGCAGCATGCGCAACTATCAGATGGACGGCTTGGAGAGACGCTACCGGTGCAGCATTGTCGGTTCCGGTCTCAGCTTCGTAAAATCCTTGCACGACGATTCTCGATTTCTGTCGCACAGCGATGCCGGCCTCGTTGTACTTTCATTTGTAGATGTATTTTGACGGGATAATTTGAGCATCGCACGGGGGATCGACCCACTCATAAACGCCGTGGTCTAGTAAGGAGCGATTCTCCTCCTCCATACTTTTCATCCATCCAACGGCATCTGGTCCGTTGACCGCTGCGCGGTAGATTGGTGGATCGGCGGGCATGTATCCTAGTTGGCCAGGTATCCCTTGACCAAGGTTCCCGATCTCACCTCCGATCACCAGTGCGTATTCTGTTTCGAACACCTGCTCCGTCGTAAACAGGTTCAGACGGTCCCGCGGCTTTGTCGTGCGACCGCTTTTGCGCACCGCGGGCGGTTCTTCGTCCGGTCCGTCGTTCGGTTCTGCCGGTTCTGGTTCCTCGTCTCTTGTCTCGGCCCCAGTGATAATGCCGGGCTGGAAAATCTGGCCTTGTTCGGGAAATGGGTCAGACCCGTGCATGGGGCGAGCGACGTCGCGGGCATCTACCTCGCGGAATGACACTTCAGCAGAGTTTGTAATTTTGAGTGGTTCCGCCGGGTCCCATAGCCGCCACGTCTTGCTGGTTGTATTGTATCCCACCATGTAATACTTCTTCGCCCTGGCAGAAAACGTATCGTTACGCGAGCGGGCTTCTACGTGTTTGAACGCTACGGACCCCCACTCATGCATGTGCTTCAAGCTGCCGAGTGGTTTGTCCTCCCAAACCTCAAGTGGTGCTTTGCCGTCCAGGACGTCAGTAGGTGTGCGGTTCTTGATGTAAATGGCGGCCTTGACGGCTTCCGCCCACAGTTGACGCGGCAGGTGCGGAGCTCCAAGCATGAGGCTACGTGCTGCACCGATGACGGTCCCGAAACCGCGTTCGGCGACAGCATTCCCTTGAGGGACGTACGGGGGGGGCTTGTCTCCACGGCGATCCCGAAGGACCGACACATTGCGAAGAACCTACCCTTGAAGTCGGCTGCGCCATCGCAATGGATTTTCCCGATGCAGATGCCCTCGGGGTCGGCGACTTCTTTAATCAGGGTTTCGAGCGCGTCAGTCACTTCATCCTTCGTCTTCAGGGGAATGCCCCACCGCATGCGAGACTTATCGTCGGTGAACATTGCGATATGCTGACATCCGCTGTACGATGGCACACCATGTTTCCCCCACAGGTCGAGATGCACAAGCATCATTCGCGTCGGTGAACGGGAGCGGCCAACCGGGGGGTGACTTGCCCTCTTGCTTTTTGAGATATCGCACACTTCGCAGTCACCTGGTTGAATGTTGGTGGTGAACTTGATGCCGGTGCCTTCCTTATCCGAGAGCTGCTTCAGGGCGCGCGCATTGCAGTGTCCCATCCTCCGGTGCCAGACACCGGCATCGGTATCGGCACGGAAAACTAGCGGAGAACTAGGCAGGTCGAGATTCACGTCGTCCAGGATGAGATTCACGGCGTACATTCGAGGCACCTCTGCTGTTGATATGTGGAGAGACAGGTTCCGGCTTCGCAGGGCCGGAGGTGCCGAAAGTAGATCCGTCTTCACCCCCTTCTCATCCAACGCTCCGACAGAAAACATGTTTGCCCCAAGGTCCCGCACAAGCAGAACCTCCAACTCTATCGGGGCGGGTTGACCTTTCTTTGTCATTCTTGAGTTTGAACTTCAGCGTACCTTTCTTGGTGGCGCTGGATGTGCCGCACGAACCCTTGATGCGGACGTCGCAGTCAACCAAGTCGACTACATGTTGTGAGACTGGGCTCTCGCCGCTTACCATGTGTCCCGAAGCGGCGGTGTCGATGAACACTCTCGTATTCTCGGCGGGCGCTGTCTTGTCCACTGCACGAAAAACATTGGTGTACGCGACCAGCTCCTCATGCTGTATCGCGGTTGGCGGGTCCTTTTCCTGCTCGTAGGAGGCAGCAGGCTCCTCGGTTTCCTCTGCTGTGGCAGGCGCAATCGGCACCTGCAATGGGACAGCACGCTCCAACAACTGTAGCGAAGCTGTGGCAGGCGCAGCCAGCACCTGCCCGACATTGGCATCGGACGTCTCCTCAGGGGTCGATGCAGCAGGCGCAAACGGCACCTGCTCGGGATCGCCTATGGCGATGTCGAATGATTCCAGCGTGAGGTCTACCTCGCGCGCGTGCGTGAGCCACGCCTGTGTCGTGGCTTCCGCGGTCGTGTTGACCTGCTGCTGCGGTTGCTGTTGTTCACGGTTCGAAAACCGCGTGGCATTGGAGGCGCGAAGCGGGCAGTTCGTCCAGGTGTGTTCCGTAGAATTGTGACAGTAACTGCATAAGCCGTCCCTGTCGTACCCGCGTCTTTGCTGTGAGTGGTTTGGCCGTCCAGAGGACCGGTTGTCGGAAGACGCACCTCCAGCCCCGTTGCCAGAAGTTCCGCCGCCATGGTTCTGGACCAGTTATTTAGGCCTGTCCTCCATCGGCCGTTTTATTTTCGATTTAGATACACAAACTTTATTTCTATACTAATTTCAAGTAATTCCACCTTCTTATTCTCCGTCATACAAGCAAAACGGCCGATGGAGGACAGGCCTAGTTCTGGTCGTTACTGTTGTTCCCCCTCGACGACCCGTTGTAACGGTTCGACGAGTTGTTCCAGCTGCCACGTCCGCGTTCACCGCGCTGCGCGCGTCCACGGCCATGATGACCGCCGCCCTAACGGAAAGAACGCGCTCCGCCGTGTGTAACGGTATTCAGCGCACGGCTGCTGCTTCCGGATAAGTTCTTCGACGCAATTTTACCACGAATGTGCATCGCGTGGAACGAAGTGGCTCGGTCGGCGACCTCCTCGAAAGACAAGACGCTCCCAGCAGCTTGGCCGCACAGCAGTCCTGTCTTGAACTCTTTGTAGTGGTCGTCCGGCAGTGCTTTTAGGAAAGCGAACGTCTTTCGGTGGTCAGCCACAGTGTCGTTATACACGGCGAGCTCCGTGCAGATCCGGCGCATGTCTTGAATAACATTGGCCGGGTCAAAGTCGTGGTCCGCAGTAACTGCCAAAGATATGAACTTCTCGTGCAGCTCCTGCGTACGGTATACCCCAGCGGCCTGGTACTTTCGTTCCAGGGCGAGGAAGGCTCCACGACCGTCTCCGTTGTAGGAAGACCCGATAGGCGCGTATGCCTGCACAGTCTGCGAGGCCGCGCTCTGGTAGCCCCCGGTTTCAGATGTGGCGAGCATCAGCCGTGTAAAGATCTGTACGTTTTTGTCCTGGTGGTATCCTTCCAGGGCAGATTGGTATGCGGAAGTCTGGTCCGGCGTAGCACTAGGTCCGGGATCCGAAGGGGCTTTCTCCACTCCCAACAGAACCTTGTGTAGCTTGTCCTCCATAAACAAGGAGGTCTGCAGGGTTCGCCAGCCGACGTAGTCGCCTGGGTCACCACTGAACTTGGCGAATCCTCTTCGGATCTCGCCTGACGAGCCGGTAGCCATGCTTACCGACTCTGGTGACTCTGGTGTACNACGGATCTCGCCTGACGAGCCGGTAGCCATGCTTACCGACTCTTGTGATTCTTGTGTACTAGCTCGAGCAACTCGAAGCTCAAAACCTGTTGAGGCAACAACACTGTCACTGCAGTTGCTGTACAGCTATTCCTTTAGCTGTGGCTACAAAGTAGCTGGCATGTGATGCGAGGTTAGGTAGGCAAACATACAGAGTGATCTTATTATCCACACAGACGCCCAAGCTGTCTTCACCTGACGGTTACAGACTTGGCAACGCCTTCACAATACCGCAAAAACCCATGCAGTAGAATAGAGTCGTTCTTGTACCTTGTACTGCAATTACTCCAACACAGTACTCCCTTCCCGCAGTGCCCGCGTTTGTCTCCCTTCTCGCTTACTGACGTGGTGTTTACGAATCTCTCTACTCCTCCAGCTTCGTGGGCCACGCTTTCCGCGACGGTGGTTGCCAGGTGCAGTTTGCCGCTTTGCATTACTGCCGCGGGAACAGTGTCCATACACACCTCTCGCCACTCCCACCGTCTGTGCATCCTCACCGCCACGCCGAGCCAGCGCGGCGGTGAGTTGCACCTTGGGACACCACTCGCCTACTATCTGTTGTGGCCTGTTTCTCCCGCGAGGGACTCACTAGGTCGATTTCGGCCCCGGCCGGGGAGCAGGCCGAGGGGAGGGAAAGTGTTTCTTGCCTGCACTACTGCTGTGTAGCGGCAGCGGTCACGACGCTTACCAGCCGACGAAGCCTACCAATCAATGTAGTAAGAAAACGTCAGGCTTCAGCGGGATGAGCCGATGCAATACAACGCGAGCACTCGTTCTTCTCTCTATCGACAGGGAGGGTTCGAGTTGCACGACACAGCAGTGTCCTGCTGCTAGCGTAAGGATAAGACTTGTGTGCGCTTGATTGATGTCAAGNCAATACAACGCGAGCACTCGTTCTTCTCTCTATCGACAGGGAGGGTTCGAGTTGCACGACACAGCAGTGTCCTGCTGCTAGCGTAAGGATAAGACTTGTGTGCGCTTGATTGATGTCAAGGGGGGAGTCTGTGTGTGCTGGTCCTGCCTCTCCCCTCCACCCTCGTTGCGGGCGCGAGCTCGCCGCCAGCACAGCGCCACACA